AAATAAAAATGTAAAGAGAAAACTCAATGATATTTCATCGACAATAATTTCATTTTCGAACTTAATAATAATAAATAAACTCTAATATTGACCCATAATACACGACAGGTAAATTGGTTATGCCCCACTCCAAGATAGTTGGTTTGGTGTCAAAACCGTGTAAGCGTGATTGTGAAACGTATTCTCGGATTCAAAATTGTCTTTGCTATTATTTTATATTATCATGATGATAGTATTATCGTACATTAAATATATCCAAGTTTTTTTATGATCAATTAAAAGGATAACAGTGGATACACGTCTAATAAAATAAACACTAACTATTAATTTTAATACTATCATATATGTAACTCGTTAATCTGAAATTTGTACCTATGTTTATACTTTATAGTTTAACGGACATAAAAATCAACAATTATGTACGATCTTCTAAAATCTGTTCTTATACTACATAGAACCGAAATAAAACTCACCATGCGTTCAATCACTAAAACTACATTTTAAAGTCATTTATAATAATAAAAGATAAAGATTTAACTTTAGAAATAGAAGAAAAACAAATGTGTGGGACAATATATACTTTTATTTTACACAACTAATAACATAGTTTTTTACTGTAAATTAATTAACAGTTTATTTTTAAATGTTAATCTATACACGTAAATCAAATTTCAACAGGTCGTGATATTATAGGTACATGTCTATGAGAAATGAGGGTTCATAGTATTAGGTCAATTAAAGTTATAATTATGAATAATATTATAGTCCTTAATAATTTATAAAAATGTTCGAGCATAATAAGGACGTATTAGGTTAAATATTAACTTTATTTTATATTTAATGTAAAAGCCTTATTAAAGATGTACTCAAATTTTAATAACTCAGACACTCTACTTGTTCATATTTGAAATTATGATTTAAACGCATTATAATTAAAGGAAAAATCTTTTGTTTTTAACGAAATGATACAGCATGATTGTTATTCGAATAAAAAAAAATGTTTGTATCATTGCAGGATACCTAACTGCTCCCTGCAAACTGTAAAAAAGGTAATTAAAAACCTATAAGTAATATGGTTCTTACCTTAGCGTACTGAAATATTCTAAAAATGTGGATTTCAATACCTAATATTATCGAAGGATACATAAAGGATAAGCGGGCTCGGTGAACCGCTATGTATATAATATTTTCAGCAAACAAATTGTTAGTGGCGCGCGTTACTCATACGCATAATACATAGTCGTTTCATATTTAGTATGGAAAAGATAAAAATTTTACACCAGTGAATAATGTTCGTGTCAGGTCATATTATAAATGCGTCGTTTTTGACAAATAGGTCGTAGATTGATCGGTGAAATGGAACTAACCAAACACCGTGCGAGCCCTCAAAACTCTATATACAGGGTGCAGAAGATTCCAGGGCGTAAGGTAACACGCGGGTTCGCATTATTTCGTAGTGTCCCCGTAGCAAAAATCTATATTTTCATGTACGCGTGTCCCATAAAAAGGGACGGCTGTATAGTCGTATACCCACCTATGTAATATTATATTATATTATATTATATTATATGCTGCTGATGCTGAATATTATATTCATAAACTGCAATAAAGTTGAACACATATTATTACGATTATTATGATTACTATTATTATTATTATTATTATTATTATTATTATTATATTCTCGTGGGTACGAATTGAACGCGAGCGCGGTGTGCTGATGACGAACTCGTAAACCCGAAACGTTATAGACTTTTATAATATAATATAAATAAAATATAAAAATGTACCGAGTATAATATTATAAAGCTCCATTTTTTTTTTCCTTCCACCGAGTAGTGCAATAATGATACCGTGGTACGTGGTGTAATGGCATGACGTTTAAAAACATGGTCGATTCACACTGGTAATATGTAAATAATGCAATGGTGGCCTGCTGCATAATCACCATTCGCACCACTCGAAGTTGCAAGTTGCATAATTAACGCTTTTATGTAGTACAACAGCAGTAAATGGATACTACAGATGTCAAGACAGTGACCTTTAATTTATGCCCGTCTTTAATATTAGAACGCGTTTCTTCGTAATATGTTTACAATGAAAATTGTGTTTACGACTTTGGCCTTCGGCTTTCAGCTGTCTATTACACGTATATAATTCTAAGTTTAAAACCACCACTCGTGTAAAAACCATTAAAAGCAGCACTGATAATGGTCTATACCTACCTACCTACATAAAGTAAAGTCTAACCGTTGAACCCACCCTCGTAGATATAAGTATATTATTTAATTTGTTACACAAAACTATGATAAATTATTAACAATGTACAGTCGACATTTCTAAAAGCGTTTAATTTCAATTTCTTTCATAAACGATGCTCCCCTGGGTATAACTGTAGGATATGTACGTATAATATTAACATAATAACATAATATTATAATGTAGAGCTTTCACGAAGAAGTGAGTAGTTGTAGAATTTCAACAACAGCCATGCTCATGTATAACCAATTAGTAATATATTAAACAAATTAGAAAGAGAACAAATTGAAATTAAGTAGAAACACACAGACCTCGGAGAAATAAAATACTATCAAATATGGTATTATAAAATTTTTTTTTCTCGTTGGATGCGTATAGTTTTCTGACGTTTCCTTCATGTAATTTTATATTAACCAATTTGTACGTGGTATATTAGTAGGCACACCTGCACACTTCCTACTCAAAGTATTATCTCTCTCGTCTGAAGTATGCAATTTGCTAATAAATTCTAATTAATCTGTCTATTTTCCACCCAAGTGCTACTTATAAAATATGTAAATGTATCTCATATAGTATAACTTTTAACCCTTTATAAATATAAATTTCTGGCACGAAATAACGAATACAAAAATTTGTTTGTTTATTTTATATTTATTATTAATATTAATATTTGACTTGACATTTAATTATAATTTTATGCAATATTTATTAAAAAGCCATTTTAATGTAATGTTATAACTTTGGGTTTCTACGATGGTAAAAACCCACTGGCGTTGTTTATAGAGTAACAAAGTCAATGTTAATTTACTTTTGGCTCTGAATTATTGTGAGATATACGAGTATAATAAACAACAAAGTTGCGATTTGTGATCATATAATTTAAATATAACCCACATATTAGGTTTTCGGAATATCCAATAGGGTGGGTAACGACTGTTGTACCTTCCTACTGATGAGTATAAATTAAAACCAAACCTTGAGTGCGCCGCTTAGCCACAGGGTATCTATGGTCCTTGGTGGTAATGGAAGCACGGTTGGTACATAAATCTGACATAGTGGTGCATAATACAGGACGCATGTGTAATGAGACGGTCCATAAAATATAAATTTAGGCGGCACGGATAACGGTTTCAAGAAAAATAACCATTGAAACGCGTTGTTATGCATACATAGATAGGTTAGATTTAGGATGTCTAGAAAGTAGAAGATAGATACAAGAGACATTTTTCTTTTCAAAAACTTATTTTATTACAAACAGTACATTAGGACCTATTGGTGCAACCATTCTGTATGGATAGAAACGTCCAATATTATTAATATTTCAAGTATTTAGTGACGGAGTCTGATTTAAATGTGCTACGCACATTAGTTTAATAATGCAGTTACAGCCTTACAGGTACAATTAATATTAAAATAATTGATTATAAAATATTTTTTTAACAAACATAATATATTTTTAATGTATTTATTCATACTTCTATTATACACGTAACACAATATGGCTAAAGTTGATAAAATGTGTTATCTACCCAAGAAGTTTTTATTAAGATAATATTATGGCTTTCGTAATACGTCAAGTTTAAAATTTCCATTTAACACTTCCTGTAGAATTCTGTTATAATATATACTTCATAAATCTCATCTCAGTGTCTTGTATCGATATATTCAACTCGGATGTATACAGTATTTAAAAATTTCACGGTAAATTTCATGTTGAAGAAAAAACACAAGAATGTTAAAACACCTGTGAATAATAATACTTATACTTTTCCGCAGTAAAATAAGTATATTATGCCAACAGATTTATGAATAAAAAATGTTAATTTACTTAATAGGATACAAAATATATTTAAGCTCTAAAAACTTTACGGATTAAAATATTTTATAAAACTAAAAAAAAAACAATGTTGAAGGAACCATTTATTAAATATTACATTTTTGAATTTTAACACTTAAAAGCATACTATGAATTGTTAATTTTTTAAGAAGTCAATTTAAATTTCAAACACAATTTAATTTAATAACAACTAACAGTTATAATCAACACGACTACCATTGTTGACTTCAAATACTATATTATTTAAAACAATCTTTGAGAACAAACAAAATTCTTTTCGTAAAACAATTTAATATAATTCTATTTGTATTTTAGCATATATAGCAAAATTAGATACTATTTATACTTGTATTACACATATATCTACTTATTCAAATATAAAGTATATATCTACATTATTTTATTGCAATAAAATTATTGCACTCGGTTATTGCACCTAATATCTATAATATAACTACACTTTTACTTATACTTTTTAAACGATTAACAATTTAAAATTTAAAATGTCTTAATTATTTACACACATACACGCATACAAGCTTATAATATTATAATATTTAAGGAATATAGAACCAGAATTTAGACAAGCTTTTAAAAAGAAAATATTAACATATTCGAGTACACTTGTCACTTGGGAATTGGGATTTAGTGCAATTATGACTATAATTTACTGTCTATAAATATATTATACAATATATATTTATTCGAGGAGTGATTGAGCTAACTTTATTGTTATTGTAGATTTATACAAGACGACATTAAAGCGATATGATTAGTATACATTTTTCTCTTAAGTCCGGAAAATGTTTTATTTTAAAAATCTGAAATCTATATTATTTCGGGCATCATAATGTTTGCGGAATTTGTATAATGCTTAATGCGGATATCACGATATTTTCCTCAGAAACAATACACACTGCTGATGTGCGCGGCGAGAAACAACCGTCTGTCGGTCGTCAACTTCCTGTTGGACACCATCGAGGACGTCGGACTGGACGCGTTTGACACGGACCATCAGACGGCACTGCATCACGCGGCGATCGCAGGACACACGCACGTGGTGAGGAGGCTAGTGCACGCCGGAGCCAACACGAGCACCACGAACAAGGTAAACAATTGTTTTTTAGACGCATAATAATGCAGGGACTTGAAATTCTCAATACGTGTGAAATTCCTAGTGCAGTTTTCACCCTATTGCATCTCTCACCACTACCACCCCACAAAAAAAAAATTTCTGCATCCAATGTATAGGGTTAAAAACTTCATTTGTGCTATCAGATTTTCAACTATGGTGTTGAGTTTTTCTAATATTTTACTTTTTTTAAAGGCAACTGATATGGTGTGTTAATATAGTTTCATTGAATATTTTTTTATTACACATATTCAACATATTATAATACCTATATAACTCGGATATAGAAACGGATTCAGTATTGAGGGGCAAAAGTCTACCCAACTCCTCACACAATTACGATTTTCCATTTATTTAAAGAAACTTAAATTAATACTCAATAACTAATAAATATCAATTTATTAATTATAGGTTGCATATCAATGGTTTTTATACAAATTATTAATAAACTAATTATTTGAAATAAAAAAAATTGAACAATAATATTGTGTGATCTTTATGTAATTAAATATTAACGAAGGAAATATTTGTATGATATTCCATCGATTATTATCAAGTAAATCGACCCTTTCACATCTTCACTTTGGCCCGTGTCTTATATATAAGTATGATACGAGGATCGCAGTATGCATATGTGTAGAAGACTACACCATCATAATCAACTAATACGGTTAGGTTTGATAATTTCGTCTCTTAAATAAATATAACGTGATACCCTAGTAGGTTTAGGTTAAGGCTCTGAGTGGTTGAGCACTACAGCCATCGTGGTTACCGTGTTTCACTCCTTATATTTTCGTTAGCTCCTATTTTCAACCACTGTTGACTTTTGAGTGACAAACACGGAAACCATAGACATTTTGGGAAAGTGAGTCCCGATATTGATCATCCCACAAAACTTACGAGTGGCTAATGCGAATCACAATACGATTAAATACATATCCATTATAATAGGCATCATTATCATTGTGGATTTGTTTTCACTAAAATACTATTATTTTGAAAACGATAGTCCCACAATCTCAAAAAATTAACTTTATATTTTCTGCATTAAGTTTGAAAAATGTTATCTTGAGTATGATAGTCCACGAGTGAACTGGAACAAAAAAATGAGTGACCACAAAGGGTTCAAAAAAGTTGTAGCGACCGCAAAATATATATCCATCTGGGTACCACACAGATTTTACGTTGCGGTCGCAACGGTCCGTATCGCGATTATATCTGTTTGGTGGACCTTTGAGCTCATTTATCTACGTTATTTCATCGTAAATGATGAGTTCGGTATATTTTATTCTAAACCCTGGTCACTAAACGTAATGATTCCCGTAGAAAAGTCATGGAACGAATGGATATTAAAATAACTTATCCGATCGAAAAAAAAAATAATGGCTATGATCACGCTATACTTTGGAGATTATACGATAAGTCCATAAAATAATGAGTATGAATTGTTGGACGACAAAAGTCACTCGATATCGTTTTATAAATCTCGTGGGACGTGGGACATAATTTGTCCGAAAAAAAAAGAAAAAAATGATGATTATAATAATACTTTATAACAGTTTACTTTCAGTCGGATCGCAGCTTCATGTCATGGCCCTATATAAGAGTATGCACTATATAATAATATTATAATACGCGCTGTTCGAGATAGCGTAATGCACAATAAAGGTATTGGTTTGTAATGTAAAAGTCTTGTTTGTAAAAAAATATTCATAAAACTATAAAAGCATTTCTATTATAAACATCAATCATAATTTACACTACTTCAAAAGATTCACTACACTACATTAAATTTTATATTATATTGGAATCCGCATTCATAAACCACGTGTGGCATATGCACTACCCTGATTATAATAATATATTCTATCATGTTCAAATAAATATTTCATATCATGAATTTGTTATCACTCTTCCGGATAAGTTTAAAATTGATTTTAGTTGAAAAATGTTTCTACGAACTTCACAGTGCCGTAAATTTTCCAAAACGACTTAGTATAATATACCCCATATAATATTATGTTCATGCTATGAGGTCATACTCATTTTGTTATGACAAATACTTATTAAATATAATGTGTAAAATGACTGTATACAGGGGGGTAGTGTGAACCAAATTCAGGCCAGCAGATTGAAATTTATCGAGGCTTCAGAAAATGTACCAATTATATCACTAACATTTTTTTCTTGCAACGCTTGAATTAAATTGGTCTAGTTATTTTTAGAAACTACAAAACTACACAAAAACTAACTTACAGAGTGATTCACCAAGCACGCTCACTCCCTTTATTTCTTCAACAATACTGTAATTCAAAATTTGATTTTTTTAAATTTTCGAATCCACTTTAAGACCATATTTTCAAATTCATGAGATTTTTGTACTACTTAAGGAGTGTTCTGTGGAGTTATACAAACTTCTGTTTTTCAAATGAGATCACACCCATTTAACTATAAATTATACAGGAGATAATAATTTGAAATGTTTGAAATTAAAATTTATACTAGTACTTGTTGAGTTATTTAACTTCGTATTAATAAAAGTTCCATAGTAATGAGTCTATTAGATATGTAGGCTATGGTTATTTGTAAATTGTAGTCATTAATATTAATAATTTGTAAAAATGGTCCAAGTACCTATAGTAAATACTTCATCCAATGTTGTATCTATTTATATTTATGTAAATTCAGTTATACAAACATTTTAATAACTGAGAAACTACCAATTCAAATGTTCAATGTAGTCCATAAAAATTTTCGAAAAAATTATACTCTTATTAAATTACAGTAAAAGAGAAGGGTTCTCATTTAAAAAACGTAAGTAGTATAAAAAATTGAATAAATTTGAAAATATAATCTTTGAGTATTTTTAAATTCCAGAAATCATAATTTCAATAAATTCATTGTTAATAAATATATATCCCGGTAAAAAAAGTACTCATCCGCCCATGTGTATGCACTATGCATACATTAAACAATTATTATACATTCAATATTATTTGAGTATATGATATAATACCATGTTAATGAACTATGACGTGTAAATATTACGGTATTTAATGAAACACAAAATAATTTTAGAAACCATATTAAACAATAATTTACTCTACATTTAATTTGGTTACCGGATTTTCAGTAAAGTAAAAAAATCTTAAATATTAATAAATACTGTCATTTTATTACGTATTACTTCCTTTAATGTTACGTACATTTTTTTTTTCATAAATAACATATACTATATTTTGATGGGCAACATAGAATTCTGCACCATACAAGTAGTGACTAGTAGGATAGAAAAAAAAGGAATACCTAATGGCTAATATAAAAACAAAAGTTATCCTAAACACAATATTTTTTAAATCCTGTTAAAATTTCTATTTTATATGTATATTTTTTACTCTATAAATAATATATAACAGAATTCCGTCACAGAGAAATACTACTATACCAATACATAATTTGAATGTCAAAGAAAGACCTAAAATTTACATTTTTTTTTTCAATATTTTAGTACAATAGGTATAACATCACAAATATAATAATTGTATGATTTTTAACGTTATGGACATATTTTTTGATAGTAGTCAGCTGATGCGAATTACATCAAAATAACTCAAGCATAGTTAACATATTTTACATTCCTATTTTATTTATATTTCATTCAATAATTAAATTATATTAATATGTATATTGTATATATTTCAATTTTTATTTGCTTATTTTGTTATAATTCGACTTGCAGACGTATGAAAAAAATAAACGAACGTTTGAACTGGAATTTACTATTTAATACTTCAATGCTATAATAATACCTAAGGATAATAATATCAAATCAAATACAATTTTTGATTTTTTCGCTTTTAAAATGACTAAAATACTTATCACTTAAAATAATATTTTTAGTGTATTGAATATTGATACGATATAACCTACATTAATATTGCATACACCATGTAAAACAAAATGTGGATCAATAAGACTGTATTGTGTACAATATAATATAATAGGAAACTATTGTACTTGATTTAATATTTATTCAATTTACATAATTAAAATGCTATTCCACCATTGAGGTCACAATTTAATAATATTATCAAATACGGAATAATCATAAAACGTAAGAAATCGGCATTATTAATGTATTTAATAATTAGGGGAACCTTTCAGATTTCAGTAAGATTCAAATCTGATTCATACAACTACTTAGGATCGAGAAGTTACACAATTCATCAAGTAAATAAGTAATAACCAGCAACGTTATACATGATTTATGATGCCAGTGTAGTTATTGATTATTGAGCAAAACATTTAATTATATTATACAATTAATTATGATGAAATAAATTACTATTTTATTAAGACATAATATTCTGCGTAAAAATAAACAAAAACATCAATAATATTATGTATATTATTTCAACGTTTTGTTTCTCAACTCTTTCAGTCACCATGCTCATTACCATGTACATAAACACATTCTTATGTTTGATAATAAGATCTACCTTTTTGTCGAGGTGTCTATAAATTGTTAATCATGAATAGAAGAGAATTCAATTTCAGTTTGAAAACGTTTCACAAATATACACAATCATAGTACGGTTTTATATTTTTTATGTCTCCGTCGTACCTACATTATGCTATAACATTAAACATACTTAATCAATTCAGTTTTGTTAGAAACATAAATTAATAAAATATAATAACACGGTGTATCGTGTATAGGTAAAATTTATATTTTAAATTGTGTAATTATCAAACTAATTCTTGTTACGATTTATTAAATTAAAAAATTAAAATTGCAAATTGCTCAGACGTACCTATTCTTGAATGTAAAAATGTTAATACATTTTAATTTGTATTAAAATTTTATAGACTTATCGTATCGTATTTATTTTTTATTTTTTATTTTTTATTTTTTTTTAACATGCCCTATAATATATCCATACATTCTTTGGCATATTGTAACAATGCAACCGGAT